GGCAGGCATTCTGCACTGACCCCTATCCTACATCATGATATCTTTTTTTTCCTGATGGTGTTTCTCTCTCTCTCGTTATGTATATCTGTCTCTCTGTGTGTGTGTGTGTGTGTGTGTGTGTGTGTGTGTGTGTGTGTGTGTGCGTGTGTGTGTGTGTGTGTGTGTGTGTGTGTGTGTGAAGGCGAAGGGACAACAAACGAGGGGCTGTGTATAACCCGAGGAAGGCGAAGAGAGAATGAGTTCTCTGACTCCAGAGTTGAATCCGGCTTAAGTAAATGCAACTCTTTTTCTATTTTTTTTTTTTTTTTTTACCTTTCTCCCTCAGGTTGTGAGAGGCAAGTTGTCCTCATACTGAAGTTCAGCAACTCTGTTTTTATATATATCGTCAAATAGAACTGCCCGGTAAACCGTAGGCAGAGAGGGAGAAGAGGACAACAAATGAGGGGCTGTGACAAATATATATATATATATCGTCAAATATATATATATATATAGTCACAAATAGAACTGCCCGGTAAACCGTAGGCAGAGAGAGAGAAGAGGACAACAAACGAGGGGCTGTGACAAACTGTTTCGTTGGAGTTTCACCGACTCATCAGGAGGCTGAACCCTATATATATATATATCGTCACAAACAGATATATATATATATATATTTTATTAAGCGCTCATTCAACTCTTGAACGAACTGCAAAGAGACGACCGGGCAGCTAGGGAAAAGGATAAGGCACCAACGGTAATTACTGAACAACGTGTGAACAGGGCATCATGCCCTGCCGTGCACGGACGGCCTCGAACCAGCACCCTCCGCCACAGGAACGAAGTATCGTAACCACTACAACCCTTGGAGGTGTTATAAAAACTGGATCCATACCGGTCGTGATATCCAGCCCACCTCCAGGGCTGCAGTGTCCTTGAACTCAACACCACACACCCAACGCACACCACACCACGGACAGCCAATCACGCACACTCCGTTGAACAACACGTAGCCCGGGGCTAGCTCAGTTTTGGAATAAAAAGTTAAAAACCCATGAACTGCTGAAATCCAGACCCGAGTTCGAATCCAGATGCAAACAGATGAACGGAATAAAATAATGGTAAACTAGCTGAGCCAAGTCCGTTCAATTACACACACACACACACACAC